ATCCAGGAGTATGATCCATGGGAAAGTTGGTTCTGAATGTGGTACAAATAATTTATTACCTCAGAATTACCCTCCCTGTTTGTGTGAACGCTATATCCCATTGTATACTGCCATGTACGGTGTCAGGAAAATGGAAAATTGTATACTTACCTATCGGTAATTTTCCTTTCCTGATGCCAGTACATGGCAGCAGACAGGACCCTCCCATGGCTTTCGCATTGACTACTTGTTACGAGAATGGTGGCCTTGGGAGGCGGGCTTTAATTTGTAGTATAACTGGTCCTGTGATTGGGCTGGGGGCGGAGCCATACCCATTGTATGCTGCCATGTACTGGCATCAGGAAAGGAAAATTACCGATAGGTAAGTATACAATTTTCCGTTATATATTCATGTGCGTTGTGAAAATTGGATCTTCAGGAAATATCAAGGCAACCTCAGTTCTTTTCCAGAGAGTAGCGTTTAATTGGATCGAAGTAATAGATGAACAGAAACAGTCTGACAGAGTAATAATCAAAATAAAATATCTAGACCTCAGATTACAAAGGCTCTGTAAGGAATTACTCTATCTAACCAGCACATATCTCCAAATCTATATATGCACCTATGTGCCTCTCTTCATGACTCTGAATTCCCTCCCAGCCACTTTAGGCTCTAAATTCATATACAGTTTAGTGTCATTCACTAACACTGATGAAAGGATTTCTAAATTGGCTGGTCTAACTACCCCTTTGATGTTAGTTAACTAAACAGGTTTTGACAAAATTCCCTACAGCTGTTCTATTGTGTACAATCAACAATACAGAATGATCAACTGGTCAAGAAACATGCATAATAAAGACCTAGTTAGCATAGGTGTGTTAAATAACATCAGCCAAAATAATTTCCTAAGCATACACCCTAAACATACCCCTAATATATCTACTTCAATCATAATTTACAACACCTAGAAGATGCAAGGCTAATATCAGATATGCCTCCTTGAGTAGAAAACATTTTTTAACGAAAGCCCTCCAGAGCTAACCAGGAGTCACATACCTAGTTTAAGACTGAATGTGTGAGGAGGCCTCCCTTGCACCTCGTTTCCCAAGGACTCTGGAGTTGGGAACTGTTGGAACTTCTTGCACAGCCTCACAGAGAAACACAAGCACACAGTCAGATATGTATGCTGAAACTTAATCCTCCTGTCCCATCGCACTCCTGACCGGACAAAAACCCAAATCCAACTGGATGGGTGCGGTAGTGACAACGGATGCCTCAGTGAAATGTAGATAGATGAAAGTAGTCACTCGCACTCCATGATATTAAAGTCAATGCTGTTTATTGACTGAGATAACACACATCTCCTTAGCGACGTTTCGAGACCATGGGATCCCGTCCTCAGGTCCTCAAACGTCCTCTGTTTGCCTGAGGACGGGACCGCATGGTCTCGAAACGTCGCTAAGGAGATGTGTGTTATCTCAGTCAATAAACAGCATTGACTTTATTATCATGGAGTGCGAGTGACTACTTTCATCTAGATATGTATGCTGAACATGGTTTGGAAACGGGAAGGAAGCCGCAACTTTATTCTCTACCTTATTCAATGCAACAGAGTATATACCATAGATATATAACAGAACTTATAAACACTGCCATCTAGTGACCAAAATTGTATACTGCAGAAGTTGTTGCTATAAACACAGTAATGTGTATTCTAACAGGAACAGAGTCAGAGTAGACAGCGAGTGGCACAGGTGCCAGTGGTGATCACGACGTGCAAGCTGGAGTCCAGGTGCTGGGTAAGGAGCAGAGCAGAATCCAAAATCATGGACAAACAAGCCAGGGGGCACATCAGTCGGGCAGGCAAGGTACAAGGGATGAGGCATAGGCAAGTCCAGTAAAGGATCCAGGGTCAGAAGGCAGGCAGCAAGCAAGAGTAGTCATGAACAATCTGAGTCAGAAGTCAAGCAAGGATAGTAGAAGATACAGGAACACAGGGGAGCTGAAAGACAATTCAGCAACTTGGAGACAGCCAGGCTGTTTTAAATAGGGTAATCTATTGGGCACGCGTCGCTTCCTGTGCACTGTTTGGCGCGTTTTTTTGAGACCGTTCTGTGGCACATGTGCGCAAGTGCCTGTTTGCTTGTTCTATAGAAAACATGCAAAATAACAGGTAGTTTCTGACACCAGCCCAGCACGCAAGGCATGCATCCTGTTATCTCCACAGCAAGGTTGTAGCAAGCATGCAGCCTCCCTACTGTGCCAATACTATCCCACATGCAATCTAGCTACCCTCAAAATCAATGATAAATAGACCTCATAGTGCAAAGAGCAATACTGTCTAGCTTCTCAAAGCATTTATTTAAAAATATTCCGCTTTCACCAAGGCTGTGCTTCACGAAAGGGTGGAGGCTAGGTTGGTGGACTGCATGGATAGGTTCTATTCAATCTGATGTCCATGGACTAAGCATTTTCTCCCTCCAGGATTTGATCTTGATCTTTTGTATCCTTAGATACCCGGACAGCCATGGTTACCTCGCCCCGACCCACGGGCGGATCCAGAGTCTATTCTCGGGAGGGGCACTGCCAGAAAATAAGTTCCCCCTCTTTCACTGCTACTGTGCCACCCCTTTCCTCTCTCACCGCCTATGTGTCCACTGCCCCCCCCCGGTTCTCCCCCTCTCCCCCCGGAGTACAGCGCACTCACCTGGCCTCCTTCTGGGATGTTTCGGGCACTGCAAGCCTTGAACGGTCTGTACTCACACAAATTAGGCAGCTGCAAAGATCCAGTGTGGGCTGAGGCGGCCGCCTAATTTGCCTGACTACAGTGCAGCCTCTACTTTGGGTCACGATTGTTCGGTGCGGCCGGCCAGGCCTAGCAGAGCAGTGGAGCGATAATAATAAACGCAGAGTGTGGTGGTCAGTAATGTAACGCACAGTGTGGAGGTCAGTAATGTAACGCACAGTGTGGAGGTCACTATGTCACCCAGAAGAAGGGACCCTGCATGGCCCCCAAACGTTGGCTGTTTGACGCATGTGACGATCTAATAAAAAGTGCTTTACTTCTTGCACATATCTTCGACTGCTGGCGACTTCTATTATGGACTGTATCTGACACGGCGCCATCCGTGTTGTCCCTTCAAGCACCAACCTCTCATCCAAGGTCTGTATGGAGTGCAGGTGATTTTGTATTATCGAGGTCAGTAATGTAACGCAGAGTGTGGAGGTCATTAATGTGACGCAGAGTGTGGAGGTAATTAATGTGACGCAGTGTGGAGGTCAGCGGTGTAAGATAGAACAAGGACTTACAGTGGTGATGTGCTCTGTTCTCATGCCCTCTTCTTCCTCTCCGGGTGGTGGTGGGAGGAGGGGGAAGCATTGATGTCTCCTCCATGTGAAGCCCCAAGCAGCCACGTTGTGCCTCCTCTGCAGGTCCCTTCCTGCTCTGCTAAAAAAAAAACAGGACAGCCAAGGGGAGTTTCGGTCCTTGGCTAACCTAAACTCTGATACTCACACCGGATCTCTACCATTATGGACATATATGCAACTTCGCCATTTCCTCAACGACAGACACATTAAGCAACACTTTACACTCCCTCTTACCACCCTAGAGCACCTTTGCACGTCCTCTGGCAGGATTACACACACAGTATCGGAAACCTACTCCTTACTGTCGGACTCCTCCACACTGCCATCCACTCCCTCTACTAAGGCATGGGAAGAACACTTATCTACCACCCTCACCCCATAAGACTGGGAGAGGATGGACGTACTTTTGCTGAAAGGCTCAATGAATGTACAGATCCAGGAAACCAATTACAAATTAAGGTTGAGGTGGTACAAAACCCCCGAGATACTACATCACATCTTCCCGAATACGCCTAACAGCTGCTGGCGATGCTCACAGGATGTTGGCACGCTCCTCCACATTTGGTGGTCGTGCCCCCTCATCTCACCCTTTTGGTCAGAAATACTCTCGCTCATAAGGACTATAACAGGTGTCACACTAGAATTCACATCAATCTCCCTCCTACTATACCACTTCAATACCTCCCACCACATTACCAAGAAATCTCTGGTAATACACCTGCTAAATGCAGCCAAAACCGTGATCCCCAGACACTGGAAGTCGACACATCCACTGACAATCAGAGAGTGGCTAACCCGGGTTGACACTGTGGCAAAAATGGAAGAACTAATCGCATACGATAGAGACACCACGCCTCAATACCTGAAAACTTGGACAGCCTGGCATCTATATAAAGACACGGACTCATACAATACTGCTACCCCCTATACCCCTGCCCTCCTCTAGCACACCTTCACTGTATTTCTGGGTCTAAGGGAAGTGGGTGGAAATGAATGTAAGAAGGTCTCTCTCTTTCCCCTCCTGTCCTCCACTACAGACTAACCCTCCCTGATCCTCTCTCCCCTCTCCCTGCCTTTCTTCAATTCTTTCTACCTTCCATCCTCTCTGACCCTTCCATCTCACCCAGCTCCCCACGAGCCCCGAACTTGATCACTCTGTTAATTCCGCCTCCATATTGGATCTTCTTCCTACCATAAACCCTGATATCAGTGCACAGCATTAGGCGTATCGCTAAGTCTTCAGCTCAGATTATAGCTGATGTCTCCCGTAGCGCTGAGACCACTCAATCCAAGGGATGATTATATAACTTTTTAGCAATGTTCAGGCATACAAATCTTATGTACCCCACTCTTGCCTACCAATGATGCACGTTGGGGCATGTCGGCAATGCACTGTGTTCAGAATACTCTTTTCTCAGACTCACCGGAGCTTGTTCCCTGGACCTCCCCTTCCCCCCCCCGCCCCCACTCATGGTATAGAATATACTTTATGTAAGTTACATTATTTTTATGTACTTGTTTATCGCATAACTGTTTGATATTTCTTATCAAAATAATAAAAATCTACTTGTGAAAAAAAAAGAAGATGATTGAACTAAAATTAGCAAAATTCCTGATATTTGTCCATTTTGTTTTCTAAATACAGTAGCTGAAAATGGAGGAACAGTCTTTCTGGGGTGTTGATGGAATAGAAGAAGATGAAGAGGAGCTTGAGGATACTGAAGTAGAGAATGCAGGAAAAGTGCTTCCGTCTGCAAAGCCTGGCAACTTCTTGACAAAAAGGGGTATCACCTTGAGGGTACTTTTGAAGGATGGTTTAATAGAACCAGGCCTAGGAGTCCTGTCTATTCACTACCTGGTGAATACATACATTTTGTTAGCATGCTGAAAATGAGAAAAATAGAATTTAGACTCAAGATGGGAACTTAAATGTAGCAATGTACAAATACAGTACATTACTTCTAGATTTTATGGCTGATGTTTAAAGTAAAGTCTATGATAGTCACCCCCACGCCAGCATTGAGATGTCCACAAGCTCCCTCTTTGGGATTGACATCTTACTCTGGTCTTCTTACGGGTTTAGCAATTTCAGTCATCTTGATCAGCCGTTCTGATATGATGCAACTCCCATGCATGCACATGGGGGATAATTTATCCCGTCATCAAGGCATGCACAGCTTAGTACGCCTTTACTGCAAAACATCTATAGTATGTCTCTTCTGCAATAAAAAAAATCTGCCTGATAGCAAATTATTTTTTCACAGTTCCAGTTTAAACTTTTTTTTTTGTTGGGATGCTAAAATGAACCAGTCATATAGCTTGTCATACAAACTATGCAGTAAAAACTGCATATAAAAACAATGTTAAATCCAGAGATAGAGGCAGCTGCAGTTACATGCTCCCCCCCACTCCACCTAAACTACAGTCAAACCAAGAGATTGCTTGTTCTACTTTAAAGTGCAAGACGCACAGATTTAGGCTGATTTATCGCTTCCAGATGGCTGTAGACTGATGTGGTGTTTCTCCTAGGCCAGGGGTAGGCAACCTTGGTTCTCCAGCTGTGCTGAAACTACAAATCTCATCATGCTTCTGCCTCTGGGAGTCATACCTTGACTTGCAATGCCTTATGGGATTTGTAGTTTCAGCACAGCTGGAAAGCCAAGGATGCCTACGCCTATCCTAGGCATAGGAAAAGTCCTGGATCTAATGTCTGTTTTTATTCTTCGTTCCTGCCGGGATCTTCCTGCATGTAACAGGCCATCTAAAGATGGCCTGTTAGCCCCACCCACTCGTGCGCGCCGCACACGAGCGGGAAACTACCAACTATACAAACAGGCAGCGATGCCTGTTTACATACAAGTAATCCGCCGGCTATAGAGCCAGTGGATCGCTTGTATGGGGTGCCGATCGGAGTGCCCCCTCCTCCCGTTTGGTCCTGGGCTCTGCTGTGCCAGTGCGAGCCCGGGACCAGCATGGTGGCTCTCTGACAGGGGATCAGAAGGAGATCGGTACACGACCTCCCTCCGCTCCCTCTTCGGTGTCAGAATGCGGAAGTGATGTATACTACATCACTTCCGTATTCTTGTGTCACTCTCCAACTTGAGAAGCTAATGAAGCCGATCTCTGCTTCATCAGCTTCTTTGGAGGTCCCCAGGTGACATTAGCGGTCTTAGAGACCCCTGATGTCTCCATAAAGAGGACCCGTCACATATCTTTGCTATCACATAGGGGGGTTTCTTAGCCCCCCTATGTGATAACAATAAAGTTGAGTGAAAACAAAAAAAGGAAAACAAATTAAAGTTGCAAAAAAATTGAAGTCACACATGAAAAAGAATTTTAAAAAAACAAACTTTTTTTAAAAGTCCCCACCCATACATACACACGTGCAAACATGCGTTGGGTGAGCAAAACGATGATTGCACCCATTACGCCACACATGTTACATATTGCCACGAACATCACAGTGAGAGCAATAATTCTAGGGCCGTTAATCACTTATAACACTAAACTGATGAGCGGTAAAAGCTTTTAAAACGTCGCCTATAATCAATTTTGTGTATGGACGTTTTTTTTGCGAATTTCGCGGGTGTTCGCAATTTTAAGGCTTGACATGTTTGGTATCTCTTTACCCGATGTGACCCCGTCTTTTATAGTCTAAGAAAAAATTGGGTAATAATAAATTATAACATAATGTCAAATTTTTTTAAAAAATTCAAAATTTTCAGTAATTTTTCCTTAATATAGTAAAAAATGAAAACCCTAGTAGTGATTAAATACCACCAAAAGAAAGCTCTATCTGTCCCAAAAAATGTTATAAAATTCATTTCAGTACAGCGTTGCATGACGGAATAAATGTCAAAGTACTGCAGCGCTAAATACTGAAAAATGGCCTGGCCAGTAAAGGGGTGTAAACACCTTGTTTTTTAAGTGGTTAATTGGGTGGGTAGAACACAGATGGCCAAAAGGGTACCATATTTTGTTGGCTGCACAGAGCTACCAGGTACTGAATGTCTTTTTCTGGAAGAAGGAGAGGGTTGCCCTCGCTAAAAACAGGAAGCAGTCTGATCAAAAGTCATCTGGCAGTACAGGCACAGCAGGGGGCTAGTGTCACTTCCAAAGCAGGTCTTCAGAGCTGCAACATCTGTCTGAAAGTACATAGACCCTCACCACTGAGCTTAGTTGGGCAGCAGAAAACTCCTCCCTCTTTAGTTGGATTCCTCCCCCCCCCTTTCCTGGTTCATCAGTAATTACCATGAAGCTTAAGCTGGAAGCTTACTTAGCACTTGCCAAAACTGACCATCTCTAGTAGCAACTTTCATTTGCCCGACTTCCTTTCCCCACTTACTAGAACCAGAAAAAAACATGTTTGGCCAAGTATCTGGGGCTGCATGTCCTACTATACCACCTGATGGAAACAGCCCTTTCCACCAGTTCCTGATCTGCACAGCCCCACAGTGGCAGATACCCAGACACCATTATTTTTCTTAGAAAGCCATCCCTGTCCTCCATGATCATGTGGAGTAAAACATTTCACTGTGGCTGGACCATGCGGTTAGTGGCAGGGTACACACAATTATTGACATCTGGTTAAACAAACGGGCAGGGATGGTATATATACTGTTCAATGTACACAGGGTGAACCTTTGACAGCTGGGAAGGAGGCAGAAAATGGGATGCTACTAGACTTTGTGGTGTTGTCACATGTGGTGGGAAGCACTGCAAACTTTGTCACCACTACCCCCTTCCTTAAGAACTGTGCTTAAGAACTTCTGCCTGGTGAACAGGAACTACATCAGGCCAGAGCCAAATACCAGGCAGAATATAACAGACTATGTAACATACAGACCCACACACAGTGTTGTACTCTATTAAGTGAAGTGCTATATCCTCTTAATTTCCTCCTTGTGTAATATGGTACAGCAAAACGCAGTGCAAAGTAAAATAAACATACACCCAGCAGTTGGTGCACATACACACACACACACACACACACACACACACACACACACACACACACACACACACACACACACAAGAACAACTTTAATAAAACTGTAAAATATATACAGGCAAATATCAACATCAAGTCCAAAAACATTCATGGTGTCTGTGTGCAGTGCTTCATTCAAGTTCCAACTTTCTGACGGTGGTGCTATCTTGGTGCAAATCCACCAAGGACATACTTGGTGCTCAATTCTGCTACACTTGCTTGTAGTGGACAAACTCACATGTTCTCAGGTGGACCTTTTAAATGAAGTAAAATTGAAAGAAATATGTATATTCAAATGCATGATTTGGCTTAAGAAGAATTAAAGAATGGGCCTATGCAAAAACATATGACCTTGTGCTTGGATGAATGGGGTTTTGAAATAGACAGATGTCCATTTGGTGCTCGTCCGTGAGATCTGAGAGCAATGTCAGAACACTAGTCTAAATAAGAGTATGTTAATTTGGAGTGTACTAACTATGAATTTTTGTAAACCCATATACAGTATAGTAAAAACAGAACCTCATTACGTCAATGCGTAGTGAGAATAAAACCTCTATGTACTAATATACATGACTTTGTAAGGTATACTTATTTTAAAGTTAGTACGTGGATATAAGGACACTCACTCAATTACTCAAGGACAGCACTCATTGTCCAGCACTACATACGACACTCACATCGCATGAGACATTCTGTAACGCTCCGAGATTAGTTGTCAGGATCTCAACTGCGGAGTCTATTCACATTAACGATTAACAACTTTCTGGGATGTAGTTTTGTGGTTTAGTGGCTATTTAGGCTGAACCCCAGGCGTCTCTCTCAGTCTTAGGCGGAGAGTATGGGGTTACTAGCATCATACATAGTTACATAGTATTTGAGGTTGAATAAAGACATTAGTTCATCAAGTCCAACCTATTAGGATCTCATTCTAGGAGTACCTGTACCCCTGTATATTACGGTCCCTTAAGAAATCGTCCAAAAGTTTCTTGAACAATTCCACATTCTTTGCTGAAATCACCGCCTGTGGCAGTGAGTTCCAGACCCTAACCGATCTTACTGTGAAGAACCCCCTTCGCCCCTTGTGCTGGCATTTTTTTTCCAACAATTTTAGGTGGTGGCCTCTAGTTTTTGTAATGGAGTTAATTTTAAACAGTTTATCGTGTCTTCCCCATTATTTGATGCGATATCGTCCCTTATATGCACGTTTAGATTATTTTTTACTTAGATGCAAACCCCCCCTTCTCCCCCCTCTGTCCCTCCTAAACAGGTTATACCCCTCTATATTAGTAGCCCAGTCATGCGTGGTGTCCAGCCAGGTTTCCGCTATACCCACTATGTCAAAGTCCTCTTCAAGTATCATTAAACCAAGCTCTTCTAATTTATTTGCCAGACTTCTAGCGTTGGTGTACATACATTTAATTCCTCGCTTTTTGTGGGACAAAAGTTTACTACCTTGTTGTTCCCCACTATTTTTATTGTTATTATTCTGCCTTCATTTCAGTCGTCCGTTGGTAGTTATACTTACATGTGCCATTTTTATACCCTCCCCCACACTTTCTAGTTTAAAAGCTCCTCCTCCTTTCTATCATTTTTCCCCCCAGGAATGCTGCACCTCCCCCATTAAGGTGCAGCCCGTCTCGGCTGAAGAGCCGATAGCCGACTGCAAAGTCAGCCCAGTTCTCCAGGAAACCAAAACCTTCCTTCTGACACTTGTTAAGCTCCCTCAACTCGCGTTGTCTGACCGGAGTGGCTCTTGGCACCGGTAGCATCTCTGAGAAAACTACCGTGGAGGTCCTTTCCTTCATACTAGCACCTAGGTCTCTGAACTCCTGTTTTAGGACACTCCAATTTCCTCCTATTTTGTCATT